TTACACAGCTACCCTTACAAGTTATGCTTTACTTAAAAAAAAGTATGATGTCAGATTATTGGCTGAGCAAATGGAAAAAATTAGTCAGAACCACACAAGTGAATCATTACTAGAGTTAATGCATCCTAACTTTAAATGGTTTCTTATTTTATTTATTTTTTTGCTCTTAGTCATTTCTCTCTTATTCCGTTTTGTAGCAAATGCCAGATTTGTGAGGTACGTCACAGATAATTTACAGGTGAACAGATTTTCCCACCTCAGCTGTAAATCCCTGCTGCTCCTTCCAACTTGCTGTTTCCTTTTAGTCCAGTTGTGTTATTTTGTGTTGAATTATCACCTAAAGTTTATTATCACTGCGTTAGTCCATGGCCAGTAATAGGATACTCAGCCTGTGCACATGGTTTATATGCCTGTTTTTGTTTTGTCCTGAGGGGTTTTAGCTGTGCCACAATAGGTGGGGGAGATTTAGCTCTGATGCCCTCAAAAAAAGCTAATTTCCTACAAAGCTGAGTAGGAGCAGAGTTTGTTATTCAGCTCATACCTGTTTGCAAGGCACATAACGCCTCCCCCTTCCCTTCCTTTATCCTCTAACCTTTCAGTCTCATCTGAATCCTGCTATTCTCTCTGCCGCTGTTTTCCAGTCTTCTTGTTTTTGCTTTCCCTCCTCCCCTCCTCTCCTCTCCTCTCCTCTCCTCTCTCATCTTTCTCTCCGCTGCATCGCTCAGTCAGTTGGAGAGGCGAGAGTCTCTCCACTCGCACTTCCTTGCCACCGATTGCCGATCTGCTGCCGATGACTCGATTAGCTCCCCCCGCTCTTGCTCCTTTATACTTCTGCGTTCTGCTCGTTCGGCTGCCGATTTCGTGGAAGTGCGATGGCTCTGGCGGTCTGTTGCCGTTTAATTAGGTCCCAGTGTTTTTCTGGCGGAGTGCCGAAGTGAAGCAGCTCGGAGCTTTTTGTTGTTGTGACATGTCTGTTTACATCAGCGGCATGGCTCGCAGGGCAGGGGCAGCCGGGGGCAGCCGAAGGAGCAGCACTAGCAACAGAGGAGGAGCAGCTGGAAGAGGAGGAGGGGGAGATGAAGAGCATGAAACAGGACATGCTGTAACGCTGCCTGGAGGTCCAGGAGCCCCAACCAGTGAAGGAAGAGGGTTAGCAGAGGATGAAGCTGAGGAAAGAAGTGGAGACTCTGCCAGAGCTGTGTATGGAGCAGGAGGAGGAGCGTCAGGATGGGGACTGAGAGGTGGTGTTTGTCGGGGAGTTTGTATGTCCGTTCAGGAGCTCAGCTACTGTCTGTGTCTGCCCTGTTGTTGTACAGTGTTGCTGCAGCATGGAGCTGACCCCAACATCCGCAACACCGATGGCAAGTCTGCCCTGGACCTGGCTGAACCGTCAGCGAAGGCCGTGCTCACAGGTCAGTCCTACACAGATCACACAGTTTGTACAGTGAAACAT